TTAATTTTATTCAGCAAGTAATAGGAAATCCATCAGGTAGTTAAAAACCTGGTGAAAATGTGTTTTATTCAGATTGCTCCTCCAGTATTGGGCAAGAGGGACCATACAAGTGGATGGAATCCCCAATTTCTAAGTGATTTTACTACCCTAATTAGAAATTGCCTGAGCCCCAGTCAACGCAGTGAAAGTGGGTTTGATGGAGGTATATTGATGTACCGTAAAGAAAAGAAAATCCACAATGTTTTAAGCAGAAATTTCCCTCAGAGGTATGTGCTCAACAAAAACATTTACAGTATTCACCAAAATAGATGTGCAAGATGCTAACAGTAACATTGAAAAGTAAAAAAAAAAAAAAAAACTGGAAACAATTCAGTCTCTATAAATTATATTTTAATACAATGAATTATTATGTAGAAATTGGCATGAAGAAACCATTTTTAAAATTCAGCGATGCAGATGAATCTAATCAAACACAGCACTCAAGAAGCCAGACACGAAACGGTACACACCGTGTGATTTCATTTCTGTTATAGCCACAAACACACAATCTAGTACACGGTGGTAGAAATGAGTTCAGTGACTTCCCTTCGTGGGGAATAAAAGTGGAAAGGCCCCAGGGGGCGGGCTCTGGGCTCCTGGCCACGCACCGCTTCCTGATCTGGTTACACCGGTCGGTTTCCTGTGTAGAGCCTCATCCAGTTGCCCATTTATGTTTACTAGATCTTTTTTTCTCTCACTTTCTGTATTATTTTAACACATGTTACTTTAAAGTCAACATGATAGAATTATCACTAACACGAGGAGAAAATGAGCCAAAGAAATTAGAGTTAATCATGCAATTATTTTACCATCAATTAAATGTCTATTGAGTATGAAGTACAGTAATGTGGTAGACATAAACATAGCATGATACGCGAGTTTTGATCTACACTTTAGGCTATTATGAATTGCTACATGGTGGAAATAGTATTTGAATTTTAAAAGTACTGAATAAGATTTTATCAGAAAGAGATCGAAAATCATGACATTCGGGGGGGGGAGATTATAGCATCCTACTGAGTATTCAGGACATTTGAATCATAAAGAAGCTTGAATGTCAGCTTTGAACTTTACCAAATAGGAATTAGAAGGATTTGAGATGTTTGAATGGATTAGCAGTAGGATATAAATCAAGCCTGCACTTTTCTAGAAAGACAACAGTGGAGGCAGCAGGATTTGAGATGCTACCGTAATGACTGAAATGAGGGATTCTGTGCAATCATCTTGCCAGAAGAAATGCAAAGAGCAAGGGAGTGTGCACTGTTCAATTGTGGTCTATGAAATGGTACCATCAGGAATACAAAATCCCCTCCTAACCATGTTCTGCTTAAAAAGGTTTCATGGATCCTACCTCAAAAATAATCACATTGATGTTGAGGTTCAAATATCCTTATTTAAATAAATCCTCCCTGTGGCTGTTATGAAAATTTCAGTTTTAAATCTGTGTTCTTTTATGATACATCAAGACAAAAGGAGTTGGTAAACCTTTTGTGAAAGGTACTAATCTATGAATGAATTTTAAAACATGATCTCAGATTGTAATATGACACTTAGGAACTGCAGAAACTGAATAAAATAGAGCTGGAGCGGATGAACGCCTAGCACGAGAACGCATGAAGCACTCAGAAAGTATGTTGCTACGAGCAAACAACTTTGGATAAAGCTCTTTAGAGTGAGCAGTGAATTAAAATCATCTACAAATGCACCTTGGGTCCTTTTATATCTTCTCCAAAGCTGAAGTACTTGGCAACTGTGAACCTTTATGAAGAGTCTCATTTTATACAAGAAAAAAGAGAAAAATATAGGTGTGAAGTTCAGTGGACTTCAGTTCTTACCACATCTGAGAGAAGAGTTCAGCTTCCCTGGTGAGAAAATGAACAAACTGTACCCAGGCATAGAGCCAAGCTTTGCAATTATAACAGGAAAGAAAAGGAGCAGTGTGTCCAGTGACTAAGTCTGAGGAATTACCAGAAGCTGCTCTAGCTCTTAGTGCTGACTAAATTTTACCATGCCAGGCCGACCTGGGGCATTCGTTTTCAGTAATCACCTCAGTCTCTCAATTAGTCACTCAACTCTATGAGACATTAGCATTTTGCTGCTCCATAAGTAAATATGAGGGGATTTCTAAGGCAATCATTATGGGGAAAAGAAATTTGCCTGGGTGATTCTTAAAGCTCTAGAAGGACCAATTAGATATTAAAACTCACCTCTGAATTTGTCCCTAGTCCCCTTTCTCATTGCAGCTGTACAGTCAGTTAGACCCTAGAAGTCTTTGAGACATGGCCTTGATTAGAGAGACAGCTAAAACGTGGAGCCAGGATCCCCGCTTGTGGAGATGCATGCTTTCTCCTACAGCGCACTGGCTTTCTACTGAGGAGAAATTTGCATTCCTCAGTTGGCTTTGACAGCCAAGCACTTAAGTTTCTGACAAACATAGCAACTTAAATAAAAACAAAAACATTTTGAAAACATTCCAGCTAATGTTTTTTCATAGAAGTATAATTAAAATACAGTAAAGTGCATCTTTTTAAAAGTGTAAATGTCGATGAGTTTTGACAAATCTGTAGAGCCAAGTGATCGCCATAACCCAGTCGTACATGTAATCACATTTAAAGTCCCTTTTGAAGTCAGTTCTCTCCTATCCCCTCATCTGTGATAATCAGATGACTTTTGTCCTATGGGTTTCTGTCTTGGTTTTCTCACTACTAGACAAAATTCCTGACACCTAGAGTTGAAAGAGGGAAAACTGACTTCAGCTCGCAGTCTGCAGTGTTCAGATTGCAGTCAGCAGGCTCCAGGGAAGGGCAGGGTGGCGGAAGGGGCAGTGCAGAGGGGAGGCAGGCCACAGTAGGCAGCCAAACGAGAGCCCATTGGCCTTCTCTGTGCCATTTGTATTTTATGCAAGCTCCCTGCCCTAGTGTGGGCAACACTTACACCCCTAACCCTAAGCAGACCTTTGCCAGCAGACTGATCATAATCACTCGCTCTTGGTCCCAACACCACACAGTCTAGATTCAGCCACCTCTATAAAGTCCCCACCGCGACTGCACAAGGCTTTGAGGGGACATCTAGACACAAGCCACGCCACTTTCTGTTTCCTACAATATAATATAGATAGTATTATGCAGTGTGGAAGGTTTCTACATGGAAGCCAACAGAGTGCTTTGGAGAAGTGCTGTGCTGCATGTGGCATTAGTCTGCTCCTCCTAATTGCTAAGTAATACGCTATAGACAAACATAACTTGTTTATCCATTCAAAGTTTATCCCTTCAAACTGCTATCAAATCTAGGATTCATCTTTCCCCACTTACAACATAACAACTTAGCATACTGCTATTTTATAGATGCTGGTAAAGGCAAAATGTTCCTGAGTCAGAGACAAAGGGCTTTACTATTTCTACACCATCAGACAGCCCTGGGCCTCTTGCATGCCTTCACTGTGCGCCCTGAGTCCCAGGGAGAAGTCAGGGAGGCTTACAGAGTGCTTACGTGTGTGGTAGGCTGACAGGGAACGAGCACGGCGGCTGGGAGAGCCGCCTCTTTTATAGCAAGCAATAAATCAGCCTGCTCCTTATTCCACAGAAGCCGTATGCTTATTTCTCAAGGTTGTTCTTTCTCGTCACAACCATGAGAAATGAACCAGTCGAGAGTGCTCAGGACTGTTCTTGGCAAGCCGAGCAGAGGATACAAGGACCCTCAAAGCCCACATAGAGTTGGATTTCCAAAACTGTCCGGACTTCTCTCAAAATCTGCTTTTACTTTTTGCATTTTGTCAACAATATCTGGGTGTTCAAGTTGTTCTCACAGACTTGCGATTTGGTCCAGCTGAATGTTCCCATCTCACTGCCTAGCGAAGGGGCTGTGGTTCTCATTGCGGTTCTCTCTTGCATGTTGCTAATGAACAGCGATAATGAGCAAGTTGTCGCAGGTCTGCTTGCCTGCCGCATACCTTATTTGCTGAAATCTATGTATTTGGTTGACAAATGGTTATTGGATTGTCTCCTTTATATTGAGTTGTAAGATTTCACACATTCTGATCTATTATCACAGATATTTTGTATTTTGGCCCCCTTTGTTAAGTTTATTTATTTATTCATTTCTTTATTACTTACTTTAGGTCTTTTTGAGATAGGGTTTCACTTTGCAGGTCAGGCTGGACTTGAATTCACTTTATAGCTCAAGCTGACCTTGAACTTGCTGTAATCCTCCTGCTTCAGCTTCCCAAGTGCTGGGATTCCAGACATAAGCCACCATTCCCACCTTATTTTTATTTTAAAATATCTTTGAATGAGTGTAAGAATTTAACTCAATAAAATTCCAGTTATCAATGTTATTAATGAAGCCTTTTCTATCTCACCAATGTAAATTTTGGGTAACCCCAAACAATATTATCTTATTGTTTTCATAAAGTTTTATAGCTATATATATATATATATATATATATATACATATGTTCAATTTGTACATGATAAAGTGTCATTAGGGTTTCATTTATATATTTTAGTTCAATATATAAAATACATATTCAATTTTAGTTCAATTTGTACATGATAAAGTGTCATTGTTTGGGGTTTCTTGCAGGGGAACAATACAATGCAGGACACATTTAGAAAAGTATTTTATAAGAATCATGCACAACCAATGAGGAAACCTGTCTCCACACTAAAGACCAAAGACTCAAGCTGAGGGTCTAGTTCCCAGGGTAATGTCCTGCATGAGTCCAGCTAGAACCCATAACCATGCCACCCACAAGTCTAGTGGGAGGCCTAGAGCCCACAACAAAGTCTCATGCAGGCCCACCTCATGGATCTGCCCTGGAAAGGCCCGAAGGGCAGTGCTGGAAGCTGGAAAGTCTGTGCCAGTGGAATGAAGGATCTGTGCTAGCTGCTGAGGGATCTGCACTGGGCCAGGAAGCAGTGCTCAAGGTAAGAACCAGAGCGCCCCACCTGCGAGAGTATCACAGCCATCCTCGGCAACAGTGAGGCCCCAGGCTCCTCCACTGGTGAGGAAGCTGAGTTCCCGCCAGGAAAGCCAACATGACAAGCTTCTCTACGAGGCTGAGCAGTGCAACACCTTCCGCATTGCAAGGAAGCAGTGCTCAAGATGAAGACCAGAGCTCCCCCAAAATGAACCTTACCCATCCTCAGTGAGGTCTCGAGCTCCTCCTCTGACAAGAACATCTCAGTTCACCAGGAAAGCCAGCACGACAGCGTGCTCCAGCAGAACAGCCCAAGAGAACCAGCAGCTTCCAACAGCCTCTCAACAGCTTCTCCATGTCTGCCTCTTGTACTGCTAGCAACAATTCCCAGCTGAGCCTCCCACGCCCGCTACCACTCTAGTTCAATTCAGCTGAGTGTAACAAGTGGACCACCAGTTAACAATCCACTTCATAAGGGTAAATACTCTGTTTTGCACGCATAGAGAGCTAGTGGTTCCAGCAACATTTGTTGAAAAGTTTATACTTTTACCATTGAAATAGCTTGTCACTTTTGGTTTCCATGTATGGGTGACTGTGACTCTGTTTCACAGTAAATTTTGTGTCATCAGTGTGTATCTATCCTTGTCAACAACAGTCCTGACTTAAGGTAGACACACTCCTTCAGATGTATCTGCTTTGTACATTCAGCAGTGTGCTTTAATTTTAGAATTAACTTGTCAACTTCTACCAAAAAAAAAAAAAAAAAAAATCAGAAGCTTTGACTGGAATTACATGAAATCTATAGATGAGTTTGGGGAAACTGACACCCTAAAAAGATTAAACTCATCTAAATATTTACTTAGGGTTTAGCTAATTTTCTAAGATATGTACCTTTTTGAAGTACAGTTTGCATATAACCTTGTGAGATTTATTCCAAAAAATTTCATGTATATTGGGACTACTTTAAATGATATGGTTTTAATTCAATTTCCAATTGGTGCTTGTTAATGTGTGCAAAGTCAGTATGACTTATCTGTATTGACTCTGTAGCCTGATATTTTACAATGACCTCTCTGTAGCACTGGACCTACTTAGAAATGAGTGCATTATTTGATATATCTGTTCAAACATTTCTGTGTAGATTACAATTGCAATCTAAGAGATTGTGTCTATTTTTCATCTTTCTACCTTTTATTTACTTTTCTACTTACTACACTTAGAAGAATTTTTAATGAAAGTGTTCAATAGAATTACTCAGCGACTGACTACTGACTGGTCAATGCCTTCAACAGAAAATATACTATATTTGACCACAGAGCAAGGTACTACAGCATGATTCCTTACAATATCCTTTGATAGGGTGAAGAAATTTCCTCACATTTTTAGACTGCTGATGAAAAATATTAAATTTTGTTAAGCTTTTCTGTATTTATTTAGCAATCCTTGACTATGTGGGTGTTTCATTTGTGTGTGTGTGTGTGTGTGTGTGTGTGTGTGTGTGTGCTTAAATTTAGTCTGTTCATATAAGGGATTAGCTTAATTTTTTAGTGCTTGTACATTCTTTCAAACCGAGCTTTAACTCAATTTGACCACAATATTACCATATTTGTATTTTGGTAAGTTTAATTTGTTAATTATTTGCCAAGACCCAGTCCTAGCCCAGGTCCGGTGAGAGTGCGGAGAGTTTCCTGCTACCCTGCGCCGGCGGGACCAGTCCCAGCCCAGGCTTAGCATGGGCCGGAACCTCTCCCAGCCCCTCGGGCCGCCGCCCGCCACTCCGCAGTGCCTCCCCCACCCCACCCGCCGAGTAGGATTTTCTGCCTAGTTCCAGGAGCCCCCAGACCCAGTCCTAGCCCAGGTCCGGTGAGTGTGCGGAGAGTTTCCTGCTACCCTGCGCCAGCGGGACCAGTCCCA